AAACCCTCAACACTGCATCACCGAACCCCAAAACCCGAAACCTTAAACCTTAAACCCCTAAACCCCTAAACCCCTAACCCCTCAACCCCTAAACCCCTAAACCCTCAACCCCTCAACCCCTAAAGCCTAAACCCTCAAGCCCTAAAGCCCTAAACCCCTAACCCTAAACCCCTAAACCCCTAAACCCCTAAACCCCTAAACCCTAAACTCTAAACATTTAGATTATAGAGCCATACCGTTCAAGGGTGGTAGACCATCCCCGCTGTTGCCCCGACCCTACGCCCTAAAGCCTGAAGCCCTAAACCGACACGAGCGAGGGTTGGGTGTAGGGTTCAGGGTTTGGGCTTAGGGGGGCTTGGGGTTTAGGGTTCAGGGTTTAGGGCTTCGTGGGCTTCGTGGGTTCAGGGTTCAGGGTTTAGGGCTTCGTGGCTTCAGGGGGTTTAGGGCTTAGGGTTCAGGGTTTAGGGTCCCTTGTTTAGGGGCTTAGTGGGCTTAGGGGCTTAGGGTTCAGGGTTTAGGACTTCGTGGGCTGGGTCCCCCACCCCAATCGCCAAAGAACCCGCAAGCCTCAAAGCCCATGGAAACCAAGGCAGTGCCTGGCCTTTGTGGAGTACTGGAAAGCCCTGCCTGCGAGCAGCTCGACAAACACAGCAGCAACAGCGTGAAAGGTCGTAGTGTTGTTGAGTTTTTTGGTTTCGGGGTTTAGGGGTTTAGAGTTTAAGGGTTGAGAGGATAGGGGTTTAGGGTTTAGAGGTTTTGGGTTTCGGGGGTTTTGTCTCAGGGTTTTTATGGTCTAGGATTGAAAGCTCAGGCGGTGTAGTACCAGCAGGTAGAGCTCCTAAACCCGAAACCCTAAACCCTAAGCCCTAAACCCTTAAAGCCCTAAACCCTAAGCCCTAAACCCTTAAAGCCCTACACCCTAAGCCCTAAACCCTTAAGCCCTGAACCCTTAATTAAAACCCTAAACCCTCTGTGCATCTATCCAAGCTGCCATGGATCAACTAGGTTTCCCAGTAGGACCCTTTTGACCTTTGTTTCTTTTTGGGCTCAAGCCAAATAGTAGGAAAAAAGGGTTTAGGGTTTAGGGTTTAGGCTTTGTTTCCTTTTGGGCTCGAGCCAAATAGTAGGAAAAAAGGGGCGCCCTTATTTCTAAGAGGCTACTGGGAAACCAATTCAAGTCTAACTCGCAAGCCATTAACGTCGATATCGTAAGACCTCAGCCACTCCAGACCCTGGACCTTAAGCCCCAAACCCTAAGCCACTAAGATAGTCGCCTAAATAGCTGCCACTGTTCTTAACCCTAAGCCCTAAACCCCACACCCTCAGCCACTACACCCTGAACCCTAAACCCTAAGCGCTAAACCCTACATTACAGCACACCATAAAGAGACCTAAGCTGAGGCTCCAGTCCAGAAATCGTGATCCTCGCTGGGAAATGCGCACCTTGGCTGCAGGGATTCGCCTCGGGGCTAAACCCTAAACCCTAAACCTCAAATCCCCAAAACCCCAAAACCCCCAAATCCGCAAGCCAAATTGGCTCAAAGGCCCCCCTGGTGTGTGTTGACCCCCCTTAGTGTGCCCAGAGGGTCAGCAGCCTTGCCTAGGGTGACGCGATCCCGTCAGGGTGTGGTGTGCGCTCTACCTCTTCGCGGCGATCCGGCGCGAGGGGGCCGTGGTCGGCGGGTGCACGAGGCCCAGAGGGACTTCCATTGCACGATTCGCCGCAAGGTCATCCTGGGGTCATGGCTAGTCGAGGGCGTGGGCAGGGATTGCATTTGGACCTGGCTGCAGAGACCCCGGTGCGGAGTGCGGGAAACTCGCCGACGAAGCGTGGAGGGGAGCCTGGGCAGGGGTCGGCCAAGCGTGCTGCTACGGGCGAAGGAGGGGATGCCATCCGACATGGGCAGGTGATGGTCGACATGGGTGACTTGGCCAGACTGTTGGAGGAGACAGGGAACAAAATTATGAAGGCGCAACACGAACATCTCGAGGCGCGCATGGGAGCCCTCGAGGAGTTGACCGGGAAAAGAATGGCTTCCGCAGAGACCAGGCTCGGAACAGTAGAGACCAAAGTCGACACCTTGGAAACCAAACTGGATGAGCTCGCCAAGAAGCTTGAGCAGGGTGATCGCCGTGGGGCTGAGGGTGACAGGAGGCTGACGCTGGTGTACGGCGGCTGGCCCAGAGACAGCCGCCGTCACGACATCTTGCGACAGTTGCAGAGGGCCCTGGAAAAGTTAGGAGTATGGGACCTGGTGGACTCCGAGCCCTTCACGACTGGCCCGAGGCGCTCAACAGCTCTGAGCACCTTCCAGGCCCGACAAGGAGAAGGCCTTTACGAAGTTCGACGCCGGATGCACGATATTATTCGTGCTGTCTCCGACAATGAGGTCACCCTTGCAGGAGGTAAGAAACTCTTCGCTACATATGCAAAGAACAAGCAGGAGCGGGACATTGCCTCCCACGCGGCATGGATCAAGAGGACAGTCGCAGCCATCGCACCAGGGGAGGTACAACGCCTTGATCTTGAGTATTCCACAGGGGGAGCGTGGATCGGGACCAGCTTTGTTGGCAGCGCCAAGCAGCCGTTGCCACCCGGCCTTGGGGCGAAGGATGTGGTGTGGGACGAGACCAAGGAGGGCAAGCACTGGGTCCATGTGGAGGGTTTGGCGCGAGAGCTTGGAGTCTCCGCACAGGCCTTGAAGCAAGGGCTTGAGGATGCACACAACTGAGATCAGAAGGGGCCTGAGGCCAGAGCTAATTCGAAGGTGTCCTTTCCGCTTTATAGTTGGAATGCTGGTGGTGTGGCGGAGAACAACTACGCCCGGACCGTCTCTGATTTGGTGGAAGGCATACCTGCGGATGCATTAATTATCGTGCAACAAGTCGCCCGCCAGGAATCTGGCTGGCAACGCACCACCTTGGAACAATGGCAGTTTCTACAGCACAGGGACCCTGATGCATGGAGAGGGACAGGGCTGATTTTTCAACCGACCCGCTGGCGCGTGATGCGCAGGAAAATTACGCCGAGGGGCACCTGGTTTAGATTGAGACATGCATCGGGAACGGAGATATGGGTTGGGACAGCACACTTCACACCAGGCACGTCCCAGCATGTGCATGCGGAACAGGTTTCTGCGCATCTGCAAGGGCTTCCCCCGACACAACTTCCAGTGTTGCTAGGGTGCGATGTCAACTCACTGATGTCCTGGGCAACCGATGAACAAGGGGAAGGCATCCCAGCACCCAAGAATGGCAAGACATTTGAATTTCTTTCCCAGTGCAGGAGCAGAGGGTTGACCGCGATTGCACCGCCTGTGCAGGACTTTGACGTCCCTACCAGACCACAGAGCCGGCAAACAGATCGACGCGGTTCTGGGAACAAGGCTCAGGACGGGGCCCTTGATTATCCACCAAGGGTCGCATAAGGCTTTGGGGACGGACCATGAGTTGCTGCAGGTGCAGGTGGCTATTGCCGAGGGTAGAAAAGGTCGACCGTACCAGACTTCCCCCAAGATCTGGATTGGAGGCATCACAGAGGTTTCGGGCCCCCTGGATCAGCAGAAGTTGGTGCAACTGGCTGTCCAGTGCACGCGAGTCAAGTCTGGGGATGCGAACAAGGACCCCCTGGAGGTCAAGGATGCTTTTCGCCAGGCGCGGGATACAGGGCTAGGGGTGGATTGGACCGCAGCCAGGAAATCCAGGAAGCAGGCACGAGCCGCCTGGGAAAGGGCCAGGCTGGAGCGTGCCACCTCAGGGGACTGGGCTGCTTATAGGCAACTCCGTAGACCTGGCAATGAAGGTTGGGATATGGTTTTCGCAGAGGCACATGATGGCAAGGACCCACACCAGGTAATCCATGACCACCTCGAAACGATCTACACTACGGGGCAGGTTGTTCCGCCACTAGGGCCTTGGGAAGGGGATATTGACGAGTTTACCATGGAAGAGTTGGAACAAGCAATTGCTTTGGGCAAGAAGGGCAAAGCAGTTGGGGTGGACGGCACCAGCCACGAATTCTTGGCGGGCTTGGCTACTCTTCCAGGGGGGAAAGAAGGTCTCCTCGCTTTCTTCAACGATGTATACAAGAGTGCCCAGGTCCCGTCTGATTGGAACACGGCCCTTATGGTGGTAATCCCTAAGCAGCTCCACCCGGTTGACCCCAAGAACATGAGGCCCCTAGCGATGGGGTCAAGCATTGCCAAGTGCTACTGCAGGCTGCTCCTCCGCCGCACCGCCCCTGATCTCCGCCCGTCAGGTGTGTCCCAGTGTTCCGGCGAAGAGACAGACTTGCGAGTATGTGTTCACGGTTGCCAGGGTCATGGAACTTGAGGCCGAGTGGAGACGAGGCATAGTCATGGCTAAGATTGACCTACACAAAGCGTATGACATGGTGGATCGCCCAGCCCTACTTAGCAGACTCAAAGCTGCCATAGGCGATGGACCAACTTACCGCTCCTGGCATTCCCTCCTCGCGGAGACAGATGCGGTTCTTCAAACAGGCTGGGACACCACCCGACTCCAGCTTGACAGGGGCATAAAACAAGATAGCGTCGAAAGCCCAGCCCCTATGCCAAAGGTGTGAAGGAAGTATGTGTTGGAGGAACTGCCATCCCACGGAACCCGACGCTCACGACTATGGGGGTCCCATTCAGGGTAGGGGCATCTGCCGCCGAGTTGCTCGCCCCCTTTTTGCAACGAGCGAAAGACAAATTCTGGTCGCTTAAACACCTTCTGCGGGCTTCCACGCCGCTACGAGGCAGAATACAGCTTCTTGACCGGGTCATTGGAGGGCTGGTGTTGTGGTGTGTGGCGGCCTTAGCACCGGATGCCGGGGGTATGCAAGTTTTGAATAGCCTACAATTACAAGTGGTGGTGTGGTGCATGCGAGCAGGCAAGCGATCCCAGGAAACATGGCTAGGGTTCCGGCAGAGGGCGTGGAGAGGGGCCAGACAAGTCGTGTGGAACGTCCTTGGCAGGCGATGGTCCAGCAGCTGGCTCCAGAGATGGTGGGCCTTTGCAGGCCACAGGGCAAGGGCAGGGGACAGGGTGAATCCTGGTGCAGCCTCGATCATCGACATGTATCGTACTCGTGAGTGGTGGACCCTTGAACAGAGTAAGCCAGCCAGCCAAAGGGTTTCTCATCCTCGGCACTACCCGAAGCTTTCTAACATGGAAAAGGACATGGATGGTGCAGTGGAGGGTTCCCCTTTGCGTAGGGTGGCAAGGGATCGAGCAGTGTGGTCGGCGTGCAGCAGTAGATGGGTCAACAACATGGATGTACCGTGGACAGGGAACAGGCAGACATGCATTCGACTTTGAGGACTCAGGGTTGCAGGGAGGGATGACGGTCCAGGGCCTGACACGTCCTGCAGCGCTTGGGCTGAAGCTTCGCAGATCTCTACGCGATACAGCCATGTGGTGCCTACATATCTTTTGGGCCCTTCAGGGCACTGCCTTCGGGCAGATCGGGGCGGCGCACCCCCAAGGGGTTTTTGCTGACCCCCCTATCCATGAAGCACAGCGCTTTCAGCGCCAGGGGGTGGAGCCCCCGCCAACATGCGGTGCAGAGACAGCCTGTCCAGTCTTGGTGACGACGCCTCTACATGGAGGCAACTGGACAGCGCCCGCTCTGGGAAACCAGCAACACGCGGTGCAGGCGGTGAAGGAGACCACTTGTAGTCGAGGAGGGACTTCTGCAGTCTGGATGACATCAGCCGAGGGTGTTTGGGATGCAATGGTTGCAGTGACACCGGCCGTGGACGAACAAAAAGTGGACGACCCGGAGGTGACCGTCTTCATGCAGACGGGGATGGAGAGTCAGTGGCACGAGCTCTTAGAGGAGATCAGGCTCAAGCTCGAAGGGTATGGAAAGGGCGAGAGGAGTCAAACCGCGGGCCATTTGCTCAGGCTGCTCAACCACAGGGCCACGGACACAAGGGGAGGCCGGCTACTTGGCCACATGACAGGGAGGGTGGCCACCCTCACGGCCATGATATCTATGGTTGCAAAGTCCCTGCCGGAGACCCCAAACTCGACTGGTTGCGGCCAACTTGGGAGCGTGTCACGCGCTTTGTGGCGAAGCATGAAGGGAGCATGGAGGCAGCCGGGAAATGGCCGGCACATGATATGCCGCTCATCATGCTTACGGGCCGGCCACTACCGAGCACACCGCCGCGCTCGCCGATTGACATCCAGGACAGCTACGAGGCGGACCAATGCCGCCCTCAGAAGAGGCGAGTGCTGCAAGTGGAGATGAGTTCGGGTTCTTCGGACCCACCGAGAACTATGAGGATGGACGTGCCACTTGATGCTGAAGGAGGGACACTGCAGCTCAGCTTCAATTTGGGGTGGGAGGAAACGGAGGGACAAGCAAGCCCGGCAAGTACAGTGGTGGCACCAGGAGGAGGCGGCCCGCCAGCTAACACCGCGCCGCAGGGTGGTATGGTACTGCCGGCAGGAGCGCCCTTTAGCCTCGCGTTCTTCGGCTGAGTTTGAGGTCTTGCACCTGGATTGGCATGCGGGCGAGCTGACGGCCGAGGAGGTCGCCAGGACACATGGACCGTGGGTTTCGGAGGCACTCTTGAGCCGGTGGGGGCCCCCGGGGTCCTGGCTCACACCTTCTCCGCAAGCGCTCCCCACCAACGAGGTCGGTGCACTGGCAACGGATGAGGCAGTCCGGTTGGGATGAGGCACCGGAGACGGTTCAGGACAGGGAAGCAGAGGATGATGCCACAGGGTTGTTCCATGTGTGGTGGACGCCGGTGATCGCCACAGTTATGGGGGCGAGGGACGACCATGAGGCCAACACCAGGGTGGAGTTCTCCACTATGGCGAGGCGAGTGCTCGCCCACCTGAACCGACAGGGAGCCTCGATGGTTGCTCTGTCTTCTGCCCTCATGGAAATGATTTGGGGCCGAGGCGACCATGACTACTTCATGAAGTCGGAGTAGTACTTTGAAAGGCTCGACCTACCTGTCGATGTGAACACGGACAGAGCGGATGACCTGGGGGCAGAAGCTCACGCGGCCCTGATATGGCTGGAGGCGGAGCTCTGGCAGGAGTTCATCGACTACCTGGAAGGGATGGTTGGGGAGACAGAACAAGTCCGGGACGCACGAGGCCAAGTAACTATGAGCATGGGGGAATGTGACCGCTGGCACATGCCCCTGCCCTTCCTCCACGACCAGGTTCGCGCAGCCGCAGCCGCAGCAGAGGAGAGGACTCGGACACGGCATCGCTGATGGAGACTGGACGAGGCAGGCCGGCTCCTAAGCAGAAGTCTTACCCAGGCCGTGCCGGACGTGGGAGGGGCGACGATGGGGAGGACCCACATGACCGTGGAGAGCGGAGGGACCTTGCCAGAGACAGGGAGGAACATCGCCGCCGGCAACCTAGGAGCCGCAGTCAGAGGGTGGCAGCACGCAGTGCCGCATCAACCGGTGCAGGGGCGACGAGGGCGAGAGGTGCCGCGCCAGCCATCACGCGCGAGACAAGGCGCCTGGAGCCCCGCAGTGCCAGAGCACCTCCTATGACAGTTGGAGATGCCACGTGCTTCTGGCTGCATACTATGGGATTAAGGGACGGTCCGGATGTGGACGACCGGCGTGCCCTTGAACCCACTGGCCATACTGACAGAGTGAGAGCGCTTCAGGGGGTGAGGCCGGAGGATGTGGTTGTGGTGATGACTGGGCTTCTTCGTACCATGGCGATGTTGATGGTGGAGTTATCACAGTTGATGATGATTCGTGTTCAGCCGTTATTGCCTGGTGGCGATGATGAGGAGGTCGAAGTGGAGCTGGACGACGAGGAGGTCTGGATGCAGACCAGTCTGCTTCCCAAGAAGCGTTCCCGGGAGGAGGTCGAGACTTTAGCGGCTGACCAGCAGGAGTGCAGAGCCGAAATGGTCCAGGAACAAGAGGCCCGAGCAGCCCAGCAGGCTGAGCATGAGAAAGAGGAGGACGAGCAAGCTCGGCAAGACGAGTGCCTCTACGAACAGCACCTTGCGGCACAGTACCGAGACTGGGAGTGGTGGGTGGTAGCCCACTATCCACCTCCAGTTCCAAGGAGGCTGCGCACGGTGCTGACCATTTCACATGGGTCGGCGTCAGAAGCCGTGTCGTGCAGTGTCCCTTTGGCGCGTGGGCACCCGGTGGAGTTGAGGATCAGCTTGGCCGAACAGGTTGGAGGGCCCCCGCCGATGCAGGACCAGATGGAGGAGCATGCACAGCCTGGAGCTCGGCAGGAACAGCAGGCGGGCGCGCCCGCAAGCAGTGAGGACCCGCCCAACGTGCTGCTGCGGGACTCCCAGTACCAAAGCCGCTACGTCGCCTGGAGGGATGGCCTGCTTAGCAACCACCAAGTGGCGGCCGAACTGGGCGAGGACATGGTGGCTATGTTCTGGTCGCAGTGGCTGGTCGAGACCGAGGAGATTGTTCCGGATGGTACAGGGATGCCGGAAGAGATGGGGCCGGATGGTGAGGGGCTGCAGGATCCGCGTGAGCATTCTGGGAGTTTGTGCAACGAGGGTTCGCCAGAGCCGGCTACCATGGAGGATGACGACACAGCGGAACAGGGGGTTGCACCATTGGATGTGCCTTCGGATCAACGAGCAGAAGACGGTCGTTCTCAGACTACAAAGGGGTCGAAGGGTGAAGCTGGTTTCCATGGGTGACGTCTGAGTATGCTTGCCAACACGTGGCTGAAACGAGCTGCGTTTGCCTTCCTGAAAAGGATCTCTAGCTCTGCGAGTTGGAAAAGAGGCGCTTAAAAAAAAAACCTACAAGGCACGTTTCTTGCCCAAGCAACATTCAGGAATCCAACGCCTTCTTAACCATGTGGCATGTTGTAAACCTCTTACTCTTTGTCAAAGTCAAGGCTTGGGTTATAGGATTCAGGGTTTAGAGTGAAGGGTTGGGTCGAGGGTTTCGAGGGCTCCTTTAAGGAATCATGTAGGGTTTAGGGGTTTAGGGTTTAGGGCTATGTTTTTGGGCTCTGACGCGCACGGACTCCGGCCCTAAGCGCCCTAAGCTCGAGGCTTGTTGCAGCTCGAAGCCTCAACTTAAGCTTCTATGCCCGCGAGCCTTCTTTGTCACCAACCCTAAAAACCCTAACCCCCTAACCCTAAACCCTAAACCAGAGACCTTAAACCCCAAACCCTAAACCCTGAACCCGAGACCCTGAACCCTAAACCACAAACCCCAAAACCGAGACCCTAAACCCTAGACCCTAAACCCCAAACCCGAGACCCTAAACCGTGAGCCCCGAACCCCAAACCCTAAGCCCCAAACCCTAAATTAAACCCGAAACCCTAAACCCCAAACTCCACACCCCAAACTCCTAAACCCTAAACCCTAAACTCGAGACCCTAAGGCCCCCAAACCGAAACCCCCCCCCCCCAAGGCTCCCCAACTCCAGGTGCAGGAGGGGCTGCTGTCCCTGCCTGGCTACGGCGGCTTCCTGTGGGCCGTGGCCTCCAAGAACCCTTGGGCACCTCGGTGTTTTATTATAATTATTATGATGATTATTATTTTTGTGATTATGATGATGATTATTATTATGTGATGTTTGTTGTTTTTTTTTTTT